TTGCAGACATTTCATTACCCATCTAGGTAATGTCATCAGTGCTGAAAGCGAGAGAGGTTTCGGAGGAGGAGGAGGAAGACGACTGTGGGGTCCTTGGTGCTCTCTGAGCTTGGTGGTTTTCTTGCAGACGCTCGATTACCCAACTAGGTAACATCATCAGTGCTAGAAGGGAATGTGACGTTTGCTCCCTCTTTTTATACGTGGCTTGCCCTGTCAGTGTTGGTGGGAGCGTTTTTGGTGATTCTTAGATTAGGCTGCTGTTTACGATTTGACTGGGGTTTATCCATGAACACCATCTAACTCCTTAATTTCACAATACGTGATTAGACTTCACCATAGTTTCAGTTGGGAAATGGAGATCTTAAATCAAGCCAAATCCAAAAACTACTAGAAAATTACTGGAAACCTGGCACTTAGACAAATCAGCCATCGACAGACGCAAAGAGATAAACCACGTCTACATACCATTCAAAATAGACAAGCGAAAAGCGGAAAAGGAAACAGAGCAAAACACATCCTCACCAGCAAACAATACTTAGAGAAGCAGAGATTAACCCCAACACCAACTAGACCCATGATGGCGAACCTACGGCAGGCGTGCCACAGGCGGCACACAGAGCCATTTGTGCGGGCACGCAAGCCTCAGCCAAACTTACCTGCACTGCACATGCGCGCGCTTCCCTTGAACTTCTTAGATGATTTCCGGCCCCTTTGAGGAATTTTTCGCCCTCCCGGGGCTCGAGGGAAGCCTCTGCAGCCTTGGGAGGCTGAAAAATGGGCCTTCTGGAAATACCAGAAGTGCCAAAACGGGCCCGTTTTCAGCCTCCCGAGGCTTCCCTCAAGTCTCCAAGAGGGTGAAAACGGCCTCCCCTGGGCTCTAGAAGCCCTCCAGAGGCTGAAAACGGGCACTTTCGGTATTTCCGGAAGGCCCGTTTTTCGGCCTCCTAAGGCTGCAGAGGCTTCCAGCCTCCAGGAGGGCGAAAACGCCCTCAAATGGTCTGAAAGTCAGCTGGGAGGTGCGTACATGTGCAGTGCAGGTAAGGGGGCGGGGGGGGTGTTGCATGTTCAGGGGTGGGTGGGGCACATTGCATTGTGGGTGCCAGCATGTGCACGCTTTCGGCACACCACAACAAAAAGGTCCGCCATCACTGAATTAGACCAACAGACAAGAAAAAAACAAAATACCCCGATCAAGGAACTACCGGCTCAGACAAACAAGCTAACAATAAACAAAAGCCTAATAAAGGAACCACCAAGAGGAATCCCATCAACACTGAAAGGGCAAGCCACAAAGAGAGAACAAACGCCACTCCTTGCTATCTCTGATGATGTCACCTAGTTGGGTCATGAAACGTCTGCAAGAAAACGACCAAGCTCAGAGAGCACCAAATAAGAGCACCACATCTCAAATAAGAACGCGGTGACACAGTGCAGTTGTTTGTTACGTATTATAAGGCAGTAGCCTAGAGGTGGAGCTCTTGCCTCACAATCAGGAGGCTGTGAGTTCGATCCTAGGTATATACTGTATGTATGTATGTATGTATGTATGTATGTATATATATATATGTATATATATATATGTATATATGTGTGTATGTATATGTGTGTATGTATATGTGTGAGATTGAAAAAAGACCAGAAAGCATGAATAGAAGAGATGATTCCACCAGGCTGTCAAGCATTTGGAAGCCTGCACTCACAAACAAAAAAATCTCCACACCACAAGCCAGGCAAACACCTGGGCACAAACAGATCCCCCCTGATACCTCCAGCTGAAACACATCCCAACACACCCCAACCAGGCACCCAGATGAAACCCAGCTTCCTAACTAATGATAGCCGTCCATTTACCCGAAGCCAAGCTGCACTAAAGGCCTCCAATAAAGTAACACAATGCTGCCAGCCAATCAAGATACAAAAAGAGCCAAAAAACAGACAGAAGATATTAGAGACACCAATCAAGCAGAACACAGCAAAC